ATGTGAGAAGTTTACATAAAATTTGGTTTTCAGGGAGGTCCTGGAAAACCCCCAATGTTGAAATGAAATTACTAGATCTGAGTTACAGAACTTCAAATAATCACTCGATGTCAGGAAAGAGAAATAGAACTCTCAATTTGTTGCCATCTAATTTTGTTTTATGGTCCTAAATTCTAGTAGCCCTCAAATTCTCTAAATTTAAGAAAAGTTTTTGATGGTTTGAAATGTGTGAAACCTTCCTTGCCTTCCCTTCAGTAATACTGTGCTAGTTGAAGTCTTGCAGTGGTCCCTGATTTAACTCTTTGATATGACAGTGCCTCAGGGCCAGTCCCAATGGAACTTTGATGCATATATTTGTAAATAATAAGTATACTGTTATATTCAAACAAGTACAGATTTTAGGTCTTCTGAGTAGATCATAATGGCACTAAAATTGGATGGGAATGTTGAAAGGCTGCTTAAAATGCCTTTCTTCTGAGGATTCATTTTCCTGCTGGGAGAGCTCCGGTGCAAGGATACAGACAACTGCTTGAAAGCTGGTTCTTTTTATTTTTCAGGAAGGCGAGAGATAGCAAGAAGTCTGCGTTCCTGGGGCTAGCTCGCTTTGTATAATAAACCCCTGATTTTTATACTGTTTTTCTCCTTTTGTGTGTGAGTGCTTGTGTTTGTTTTTCTTAATGTTTTAAATCCTGTCAGGGGTTGTCTTCATTTCCGCTGGAGGGTAAACTCCGCGGGGTGGTTTGATTGGATTATCAGTTTCGTCCTAATGTTTTCTTATATTTGTTTTGTGGCAATCTCCTGTCTGCTATGGAATTTATTTTGTGTCTTTTGTCTATTTGTTTTGCTGATTTGGCATGACCTGTTGTTTGTAAGGGATTTCTTTTTCTTGTTTCCCTAGCTTTCTTAATTACTTGGCTTTTGTCTAGGGGGCTTCTTTCAATACCTTTTATTAAATCTCTTTTCCTATGCAAGTTTGTTTTATGGCTGGCCTGATGTTCCCTTTGGGCTTTTCCTGCTTGGGTGTCACCACTGTCCTCATGAAGTTCCCTTTCCACAGGAATAAACACAACCTACTAAGAAAAAAATAAAACTGAAATAAAATTGAAGTCAAGAGTTGTAATAGACAGTGATTTGAAATATTTCAAGGTTCAGTTATGGTTCAGTAAGCACAATTAGCAAAATAAAGAGGTTTGGTCATATTTATTTTTGAATAAATAGATGTACCGTATGTCTGGAGAAGAACTGGGCTACATATTTACAAGTTGTATGAAGGTTAAGTGATAGGGGGAGTCCTATTTATATGTACAATGAAGGAGGAAATCCTGCTATTTCTTCTAAATTTGTGTGTGTGGGGGGGAAATCTACTTTTCTTCCAAGCCTATTGGACAGTGATACAAAGGCTTTTTTCCCTTGATTTGTCTTCAAAAAAGGGCTTGACATAATTAAAGTTACTCAATGTATTTCAGATATGTGATCCTTTTTTAAATATTCTAGCCTTTTCTCTATTCCAAAAGCATAGATGTTTTTCCTAGGACTGGCCACTTTCATTTCTCTCTCTCTCTCTCTCTCTCTCTATATATATATATATATATATTAGCTATTCAGTATTTACATGTTGAATATAGCCAGACCTTCTGTTTTACATAACAATGAGTAGCCGCAAGAGTCAGTACCTGTAGGTTAATTGCAAGAGATGAATGTGTCTTTCCTCTGGTCACTCTCTTTTATATTCAGTCCATTCTCAGCCAGTTACTCTTGCCACAACAAAGACCTCGCTTAATTTGCTAATATATGCTTGCCAAAAATTGTTCAGTTAGATTTTTTAAAAATAATAAATACCAAGAAAGGTCTTTTGAGCATTGAATGTATTGTTTATAATATGATATTACAGGCTTTTTCCTGCCCGCCTTTTCAAAAACCAGGTTGTATCATTTTTTTAACAGTTTAAAATTTACATTATTAGTTTTATTAAGTATTATAATTCTAGAAATTGGCCAAGAATATAGCATTTTCAGAATTTTCAGATGAATATTAGTGTGCTGAATTTGGTTCCTAGTGGTGATTTATATTGTTGAAGAATTCAAGAAGAACATTCGTTTTGCTAAAACTTAATGAGCTTTGAAGTTAATCTAATTATTGCGAAGTGGATACTGCTGAAATGTATTATAGTTAAATTGACAGATTCTAATGTCAACATTTATTTAATGGATATATATATATATATATATATATATATATATATATATA